GAATAGAATAGAATAGAATAGAATAGAATAGAATAGAATAGAATAGAATACTTTATTGGCCAAGTGTGATTGGACACACAAGGAATTTGTCTTGGTGTAAATATTCTCAGTATACATAAAGAAGAGATACATTCATCAAGAGTCAACAATCATAAGGTACAACACTTAATGATAGTCATTGGGTACAATCAGCAATCAAATCCTACTAGGAAACAGTCAGTATAAGTCATAAAGATACAAGCGACAAAGTTAGAATCCTACAATCACAAGTGGCAGGGGATGGGTGAAAAGGAGTGATGAGAAGGTTAATAGCAATAGTAGTGCAGACTTTGTAATAGTTGAATAGTGTTGAGAGAATTATTTGTTTAGCAGAGTGATGGCTTTCGGGGAAAAACTGTTCTTGTGTCTAGTTGTTCTGGTGTGCACTGCTCTATAGTGTTGTTTTGAGGGAAGGAGTTGAAACAGTTTATGTCTAGGATGTGAGGTGCCTGTAAATATTTTCACAGTCCTCTTTTTGACTTGTGCAGTATACAGTCCTCAATTGAAGGCAGGTGGGTAGTAATTGTTTTTTCTGCAGTCCTAATTATCCTCTGAAGTCTGTGTCTGTAGAACCAAACCAGACAGTTATAGAGGTGCAGATGATAGACTCACTAATTCCTATGTAGAAGTGAATCAGCAGTTCCTTGGGCAGTTTAAGCTTTCTGAATTGGCACAGAAAGAACATTCTTTGTTGTGCTTTTTTGATGATGTTTTGGATGTTAGGTGTCCATTTTCGGTCATGTGATATAGTAGAACCTAGAAATTTGAAAGTCTCTACTGTTGACACTGTGTTGTCTAGTATTGTAAGAGATGGTAGTATGGGAGGATTTTTTCTAAAGTCTACCACCATTTCTACAGTTTTGAGTGTGTTCAGTTCCAGACTGTTCCGGTTACACCACGAGGCAAGTTGTATAACCTCCTGTCTGTATGCAGATTTGTCGTTGTCTCAAATGAGACCAATCACTGTTGTGTCATCAGCAAACTTCAGTATTTTAACAGATGGATCGTTTGAGATGCAGTCATTGGTATATAGGGAGAAAAGTAGTGGAGAAAGGACATAGCTTTGGAGGGCGGCTGTGCTAATTGTACAGGTATCGGATGTGATTCTGCCTAATCTCACCTGTTGTTTCCTGTCTGTTAGAAAGCTTATGGTCCACTGACAAGTGTGTTCAAGTACCGCTAGCTGGTTTAATTTACTTAGAAGAGTGTCTGGAATGATGGTATTGAATGCTGAACTGACATCTACAAAGAAGACCCTTGCATAGGTATTTGGAGATTCAAGGTGTTGTAGGATGTAATGCAGAACCAAGTTAACTATATCATCTGTCAATCTATTTGCTCAGTATGCAAACTGCATGGGATCTAGCAGAGGATCCATGATGGTTTTCAGGTGGGACAGCACAAGCCTTTCAAAGATTTTCATAACTACAGATGTTAGAGCAGCTGGTCTGTAGTCATTCAGTTCCTTGATGGAGGGCTTCTTTGGAACTGGGATGATAGTAGAGTGTTTGAAACAGGAAGGAACATAACACATCTCTAGTGATCTATTGAAGATTTGGGTGAAGATGAAATAATATTTCAGGAAAACAGATACAACACTGACTGCACCTTCCAAACATATGGAAGACTTTTGAAGGGATGACACACAGATTCATATACAAGAAGACCACAAGAGCACCACACCACCAAATATGACAATACAACCAGAAGAAGAACCATCGGGTCCCCTCATACCTATTTCTTGGTAAATGTGGCCAGAAATCAGGCCACAGTTTCAATCATCCTGTGGGTGCTGCCACCATATTAGCTGCAGATCCCTCATCCCATTGTTTATAAAATATACTTAAAAACTTCAAAATATAAAGGATCTCAGTGTATTACCTAAATATGGAAAGCAATACAGAGCATCAAGAAAAAAAATCTATGCAGTCTATACCTTTCATTCTATTTACCCAACAGTACAATTCACAGCTTGACACTGTCCTGACTCTTTGTCAGTTGTGGTCAAAAAATGGATTTTCTACAACAGATGGGAAGTGAAATTTAATTTCAGCATGAGCAACTCAGCTTAATTTAAGATTAATAAATGAAGATCTAGAAAAAAAGAAAATCAGAAACAATTCCTACTCTTAACATTAGGCAGGGTTAAAGGCTAAAACATACAATGAATGGTTGCAAGTACTCGGTATGGCTAGTCTAGTGAAGAGAAAGACCAGGGGAGACATAATAGCAGTGCTCCAATATTTGAGGGGCTGCCACAGAGAGGAAGGGGTCAAACTATTTTCTAAAGCACCTGAAGGCCAGACAAGGAATAATGGATGGAAACTGATCAAGAAGAGATTCAACCTAGAAATAAGGAGAAGTTTTCTGACAGTGAGAACAATCAACCAATGGAACAGGTTTCCCTCGGACGTTGTGATAGCTTCATCACTGTAAGCTTTCAAGAAGAGGACCGCCATTTGTCAGAAATGATGTAGAGTCTTCCAGAGGTGGTATTCAGCAGGTTCTGACCAGTTCTGGAGAACCAGCAATGGAAATTTTGAGTAGTTCTGAGAACCAGCAAATGCCACCTCTGACTGGAGATTTTATAGTATCCTTCCCCTGCCACACCCACCAAGACATTCCCATAGAACCAGTTGTAAAAAAAAATTGAATCCCACCACTAGGGTCTCCTGCTTGGGCAGGGGGTTGGACTAGATGACCTACACGGTGCCTTCCAACTCTATTAATCTGTTAGATTTTGGTTCTAGGGTTTGGATTGTTTCCTTGATGTTAGAAGGCAGGCAGCATTAGAGTTAAGTATCATCAGCCTAAAATGACTCTAAGCTGCATACCCACCCCAGAAGTCTATGGAGACAAAATACTATGTTGAAAAAGCAGAAGCCCATCCATTTAGTGTTGGACTCTAGCATCACAAGTCCTTACTGCACCTGTGTATGGTTTGCTGGTTGCACAGTGGCAGATAGGACAGAACTCCAGAGGGTTAATGCCATTGCCTGGAAGATCATTGGTTGCCCTCTCCCCTCTTTGGAAGAGCTTTATAGCTCCTGCTGCCTTAAAAAGGTTCAAAACATTCTCAAAGATCCATCTCATCCCGGGCACCCTTTTTTTTGAACTATTACCATCTGGCAGACAGTACAGAATAATAAAAACAAGGACAAATAGGCAGAAAAACAGTTTCTATCCCAGGGCAGGAGCTCTACTGAATTCTACTGTATAGTGCGATATTAATGCAATATCAGGGGTTTTCAATTCAATGTATAGAATGTGAAGGATGTGTGTTTGCATTTATTTTCATAGTCATAATATACACTGAAGATGGTATTTAATTTCATAGTACGAGGTGCAACGACAATAAAGTAAAGTAAATTGATCACAATCAGTACAGAATAGTGCCCCCAAGGGGTGAGATTCTACCAGTTCACACCTATTTGCTAGAACTGGTTGTTAACATTCTAAGCAGTTCAGAGAACCAGTTGTTAGAAGAAATTACTGGCCTAATCCTGTAAGGAAGGTTGGAAGGAAACATTCTGGTGTTGCTTACAGAAACTGCCTCTCCATTAATCCTTATTACATTCTTGGCAGGATTAGACTTCCTGTCTCAGGAACTTCTCTGGAGTGTTTTTTTCCTCCTTTGCTGGTACTTTGCTTGTGTGGAGTGACCATTTAAAGTTACAATGGCACTGAAAAAAGTGACTTATGATCATTTTTCACACTTATGACTGTTGTACCATCCCCACAGTCATGAGAGGCCAGGCAAAGAGATGCGTGCCTGGATGTGAATGATATTGAGTTGGCCACACCCAGCCAATAACATGACCACCAAGCCATGTCCACCCAGTCATATGACCACCAAGCCACACCCATCACCTAAGCCATGGCCACAGAACCAGTTGTTAAAAATTTTGAATCCCAACCCTGTGTTCCTGTGTTTTTTTGGTATCATGGTTTCTCCTGCTACCTCTCTGTACATGGAGCTACAGAAAAGTTCAGAATACCCAGAGGAGAAGTTGCTTCTCACTGTAATTGAAGTCATCCCAGTCTTTGAGACCTGTTCTACTTCCCCAGTGACTGCCTTGGATGTAAACCTCAAACTGAAGCAACACGGAAGGATCTTGTATGAAAAAAAAAGGATAAATGCCTCAGAACCCACTCTGCGTGGCACAAATTTTGGGACAGTCAGGGGCTGTGCTTTTTAAATGTACTTTCTCTACTTTCCAAGTAAAATTCTGTTTGTCTGAAACAAGAAAGCCATTGGGATGTCCATCTGGTGAGAGTGCTTTGAGTTCTACTAACTCTTCTTGTTCTTATATAGAAAGGGGAAGGGGATTGATTCAGTCCTATGAATTATGGACCTCCTGCTTCTGCTTCTGCTTCTGCTGCTGATATTGTCCCAGTCAGTCTCTGGAAAGCCTAGAATGAAGTGCCCACAGATTTTGCAGCAGGAGGATGGAAAAAATCCATGGAGCTATTACAGGCCAGGAGACCATCTCATTAGTGTGGTCACCACTGCAACAAGACCATCACGTACAACACTACCTTTCAACAGGGCTCCTTCTAGTCAGTCTCATGTGTAAGTCATCCAGTGTGATGGGGTTGCATTCCCTTCATTTGCAATTCTAACACATACCATCTTTTCATAGTATTCATTTATTCCTATACTGCAGGATCATTTTGATTTCCAAAGCTTCTCTTTTTTGTCTTATTTTGTGGAAGAGACTTGAAACTAAAGATGGGGGCAAATAAAAACCCAACAGAAGTCCCAATTGTTTTCCCCTTCCCATCCAATCTTGAGTTCATCACTGAATTACTGAAAGGGCCATATTTGCTCCTATGCAGCCAGTTGTACTCTCATTGATATTCAAATACTGTTCCTTTTAAAAATAGAGACTGACTTGTTTTTAGTGTTTTCTTTTTGGGTCGCTTATGAACCACTTCTTTTTCTTTTTTTCTTCTTTTTTAATTAATCTTTGTTACACATTTTTCAAACATTTACACATTTCCATTTTTGAAATGTGAATCGGCTTCTTTCCTATTTACATAGTGATACTTTCATTTCCATTTTCAATTCCTGGTATATTTCTCTAATATTTTTACATTTAGGTTTACCTTTTTATAATTCTGAACTAATTGCTTCATGGACCTCACTAGATCTTGATATCCTGTAACCAATCACACACCTGTTGTTCCCCACTTCTAATCACTTCCCTTGCTTCTGTTCTCAATCCCTTCTGAGAGATTCACCATAAAAAACAGACTTGACAACCAAGAAACCGCAAGAAGCTATGTTTATTCAAGATATTTGCAAATATGTGAATAGGACCCCATCTCCTCAACAAGTAAGGAAACAAAGACACCACCTTTAAAATGGTTACAAATTTTTATAGGATATCATCTTCAAAGATTACATAATTCTTCCTGTTATGTTCACACAGAAGAATTAGGGACTTTCATGGTTAGTTCTGGGTAGTTTTCCATCTTGTAACTCCTCCCAAATCATCATCTGTGAGAAACTAATTTTTTTCCATCACCATATTTCCTGTTATGTTCATTTAACATAATAAGTCATTAACAGGCTTCTGTTAATGTCAGGGCAACCTAGCATCTCTTACATTAATTCTCAAGCCAAAAATACAAACACCCACTCCAGCCAAGGAACATGATAAAACAAGTTACAAAACGTAATTTGTTTGTTAGATAGTTATATAATTGTCCAGTACTCATTCTAGAAGGTCACATCTTGAACAAAGATGGAGTCCCTTCTGTTCTATATTTTCTCAGGTATAACTTCCAATACATATGTTATTTCCACATATAACACCTTGTATGCATTTACATAATATAAAAGGTAGGGAGTCCTCCTTTTTTAGGCCCATCTTTTTACCCTGAATATCAGTAAGAAAAAAATGTGCTTCAGCAGAAAGGTGTCCTGGTCTCTGGTTCAAATGTATCTTTAGAAAATACAGATACACACACACAAAACCATAGCAACCATGCACACCCGCACACTTTCCCATACAATGAAAAGCAAAAAAAAAAGGTAAGAAACACATTTATGATAACTGGGAGTCCATTTCTATCATATAAACAAATGACTTATTTTTAATTTATTTTTAAAAAACATTAAAGTATCAAACAACATTTGGTACACTTATTAACTGACATTTCTGGGAAACACGTACACAGAACTCAATTTACTATTTTATTTTGACATCATACATTCTTTTGTATTCAGATTTGGTCTTAGGAAAATAATGTAACATTTGGGGAGAAAAATTAATAGCAACAGGCTGGCACTAGAAGCCAACATGGAGAAGACCTGCACAGCTACCATATACTTCCCCTTGGTGCTCAGATATGTGGGTATGAAGGATATCCAAACACTACAGAAGACCATCATGCTGAAGGTAATCAGTTTAGCTTCATTGAAGGCCCCAGGTAAATTCCTGGCCAGGAAGGCCACCATGAAGCAAATGACAGCCAGGAAGCCCATGTAGCCAAGAGCAAGGTAGAACATAGCCACAGAGCCTTCGTTACATTGCAGGATGACCTGAAAAGACTCTGAGTACATGTCTGACTCAGGGAATGGGGGAGAGGTGCCCAACCAGATGCTACAGATGATAACTTGGACACCAGAACAAGAAAGGATGATAGAATTGGCTATACTCTTCCCTAGCCATCTTTGTACTTTACTCCCTGGTTTTGTGGCCAAGAAGGCTAACACCACCATGACAGTTTTGGCCAAAACAGTAGAAATGGCAACTGTAAAAATGTTGCTGAATGCTGTTTGTTGGACAATGCAAGTGGTTACTCTTGGCTGGCCAATGAATAAGAATGAGGTCAAGAATGAAAACAGGAGGGAGATGAGGAGGATACACGAGAGATCACGATTGCTGGCTTTGACCATGGGAGTTGCTTGAAATTTAATAAATACTCCAAAGATAAAACCTGTCGCCAAGGACAGGAACAAGGCAAGGGAAGTTAGGATGATCCCCAACATTTCTTGGTAGGATAGGAAAGTTTCAATCTTAGGTATACAGCCATCTCGGTTGATGCTTGGATGTTGATTCACTGGACATTTTGTGCATTTTTCAGCATCTGAAATGAGCAAGATTAACACCTACCATAAAGCAGATTCTTCCATCATATGCAGAGTTGGAATAAAGCTAATGATAATGTGAAGAATTGTGTGTAAAGAAAGGTAATATGCAGCAGTGGTTAGCAAGTTTAAGCAATCTAATGCAGAAGAACAATTGCCTATGGAGAAGAGGAGGGGAAGGGAGGGGTGAGGAGAGGGCAGGACAAGAGGGCAGGGGAGGGCAGGGGAGGGAGGAGAGTGGTGGAGAGAAGAGGGGAACAAAGCAAAGCATCAGAAGTTCTCCATTTCTGCAGAGACACCAAGAAAAAATGCTAGAGGTTCACCAATAAATAAAATGAAGACAAAGAAATGTCATTTCTCCTCTAATCCCAATCCTTGATTGATCTGCTGTTTTTAATATCCTGCTCCCTATATTTAAATACCTGAGTATTTTTTGTAACTCCCTAAGAATTATACATATTAAAATAAATTATTTTTTAAAGTCGAGTTTAAAAATGCCTTTTAAAACAGGCTTTTATGAGCAAGTCAAAGGCCATGGTCTTCCCCAAAGTGTGCCTCTTTTCTCTGCTATCACTCACCTTCCATGGTGGAGATGGTTCCTTCTGGACAAGAAAGACAATGGTAGCAACAGATGGGTTTCCCTTCCAAAACCACCTTCATGAATCCAGGGCGACAGCTTTTCACGCACCTGGAAGTTGGTAGGGTCTGAGGAATGAAAGGAAGTACATCCAGAAAAATCTCTCTCTCTCTCACTCTCTCTCTGTGTATGTGTGTGTAATGAAAATTGAAGATTTTATTTTACATGACCAACTGAATATCTCATAAAGAAGATGTTTGGACTGTTGAGAACCTAATCAGCTGACATGAAAACTCAAAAGCAATGCAAGAAAACACCCACCCACCAACCTCAAAAATTGTAATCCTGTTTTTGCCACATTTAGTAGAATAAAATAAATATTAGTCCCCGATTGTCAGCGTTTTTACCTGTCCAATACTCCTCTGGTCAATAGTAACTTTAAAATCCTGTGTTGTCTGTTTTTCTAGACTACCAGTTTTCACTCTCTTAACAGATTTGTTTGGGAAAACAATCCAGTTCAAAATGTCCAGGTCAGCTGTCAGATCTCCATTCTCATCCAAGTATACCCCATCTATGGAATTATTACGAAACTGAGGGCTTTGAAGGAAAGAGTGAAGCTGGAAAGGAAAGGGAAAGTGCTGGTTTGCTTGTTTGTTTGTATCCCACCTGTATTATTTTTACAAATAACTCAAGGTAGAGAATTTATGCAACACACCTTCCTCCTCCTATTTTCCCCACAACAACAGTCCTGTGAATTGAGTTGGGCTGTGTTGTGGCCTGCCAGCAGCCAGCAGAGCTGGCGGCAGATTCAGAAAGTTAGGAGGTTGGGTAGGAACATGGGCCAGTCCTGGAGTCTGGGGAAGGCTCTGATGAGTGCTCCACATCAGAGGCAGAGATGGGGCCAGGGTCATCCAACAGTTATCTGCCTTCAGAGTCAAAGATCAATTGGGCAGAAGAATGGCTGGAGCCTGTTCCCAATGTGCACATGTGCAGAGCTGCCAGGAAAAGGGAACAGTTAAGGAACAAGGGTCGACTCAGGAGTAAAGGCACAGGTGGATGGTGAATGGCCCCTCCCATAGGGAATAAAGAGGAATGAAAGGGGTTTTTTTTTGCAGGAGACGATGAGTTCATTTAATTAGGGTGAAGATTTGTTCCTGACTCCTTGCCAAATATTGTCTGCTACAGCATTGTGTTTGAAAGCTATCAACCTGGCAATTCTCCAAGCCTGATAAGGTCTGTAGTTGTAAATCACTCTTGGAGGACTGTTTGGTGGGACTTTGCTGGATGTGAATGAGAGGAATTCACATTAGCCTAAATAAAAGGGGTTTGGTCTGGATGAGAAGTCTGCTTCGTGGCTTTGGGAAGCCTAGGTCAGAACAGGCTGAGAGAGAGAGTGACTGACCAAGCAAACCAGTTTTCATAGCTAAATTGGGAGTAAAACTTTTCGGTCTGTGGTGGAAACAATCTGAACATTAGTGTCTCTCTTTCAAAAAAACAGATTCCATTTTCAATTTCAAACTTGGTTACAATATCAATAAACATAAGATTAATAAAGCTGCTAATATCTTGTTTAAAGATGTAGATCAGATCAATGACTGTAAAGGAGTTTCAATATATGCTCGTGTTTCTGAGGTTGCTTTACATTTCATACCTCCCTGTGTTTTAATTTAAAAGAGAACTTTTGTACAATGATGTATCATTAGTGATAAGTGCCAAGTGTGGTTAGACACACAAAAAATTGTCTTTGGTGCATAATCTCTCAGTGTACATAAAAACTATGTGATAAATCATGATCATTGTCATCATAAAAATACATTCATCATAAATCATAAGATACAACACTTAGTGATAGTTCCTTCCTCCATTTTCCCTTCCCCATCTCCCTATTTTTATTTGTATTCCACATTATGAAATTTAATTTTTTTTAAAATAAAATTAAAAAAATCATAGTATTGTCTTCAAAAAATAAAAAGAGGAAAATATTGCAAAACCATAGATTAGGGGAATGCAAAGGAAAAAGAAAGGAAAGATAGATTGCAGTTAGGTTGCATCTGAGTTTCAAGATAATTTAATTTTTCAGAATAAGTAATCAAGACATCCACTTACAAAACTGATCCCCTTTTGCAGAAGATATTGTACATGGAAAAGAAATACCTGCCAAGCCATCAGCCTTGGAGCTTCCCCCTTCGTGCCTCTGTGCCTCACTGATCTCTTGAATGTGGAGATATGAGCTGAATTTAAGGCCCTTCCCACAGCCCAGATGGTGCTATAGGTGAGATAACTGTCCATAGCCAGGATCCGATCAATCTCCTCCTCCCTCAGAGCCACCAGTTGTTCTTTCTGTCTGCACCGTCTCCAGACTTTCACTGAAAAGTCATCCTTAGTGGAGGAACATGTAAAGGTTTTCTTTGAAAAGTTAAACACTGAGTCAATAAAGAGACTAAAAGCATCATAATTCGCCCATTTCCTTTTCTGTATTAGGAAAGAAAAAAGGCCACCAACGTATTTAAAGGAAGCCCAAGTAAACATCAACTCAAGACTCAGATCCCAGTGCGCTGTGGTGATCCAGACTTTCTCTACAATAGGTCCCTGAAAATGTTGAAGTATTGATTGTAGGATCATCACTCCTACTGGGAAGGAAATTATCTCCGAACCATAAACAGCGACATTGACTACTCTCCACTTGTAATATTTGCTAAGGATTAAAACTAGCTGATACAGATTTAGCGGAAAGCTTTGATAGATAACTGCACAAATGCCATTCCTTAACATCAAAGAAGACATTGTCCTCATGAACCTCTCCCCCTGGTCAGTTTCTGGAGCAATGAGACCAACCATGGTCCACCTGAAATAGAGAAGAAGCTGGACCATCCCTGGGTACTGGACTCCTTCAGCAGGAAGCATCGGGTAGAAAAAAGGAAAATGAGTTTTATCCCTCAGAATCTCGGAAGCCAAATTGTAACTGATCTGAAAAGAATTAACAGAATAGCAGAGTCAGAAGGCACTTGGAAGTCTTCTCCAACCCCACCTCAGGCAGGAAACCCTATACCCATGATGATGAAACAATGGCACATGTGGCAGAGGTTGCATGCAGAGCCCATTGCCCCAACTCAGCTCCACTGCACATGTATTCATGCCTCCCGCCAGCCAGCTGGTCTTTGGATCCTGCCATGCATGGATGGGAAGTGGTGCATTCAGGAGGCTGGGGCGCATGCATGGGGATGTGCATGCATGCACAGGGGACACCTGTGAATGTGCAGGGCTAGGTTGCAAGCACAGGGGTTGGGTGCACATACGCGGGGGATGTACACGCATTGCATTTTGAGGATGTGTCCACACAAGCTTTGGGCATTTGCTGTTCAAAAGGTTAGCCATCCTATACCATTTCAGACAAATAATTGTCTTCTTAAAAACTTCCACTGTTGTAACACCCAGAATTTTTGGAGGTAACATGTTCCATTGATTAATTGTTCTGGCAGGAAATTTCTCCATATTTCTAGGTTACTTTCCTCTTTGATTAAAGGTTGAATTAAAGTTGATGGTATTTTAAATACAACAAGCAAAATGTAATTATTCCCATTTCCTTATTAACACTCTACTTGTCATTTATGGCAGAACAGAATAACAGAATAACAGAGTTGGAAGAAACCTTGGAGATCTTCTAGTGCAAATATGAGCCAGCAGTGTGCAGCAGCAGCATCCGAAAAAATCAATGAAATCCTAAATTGCATTAACAGAGGGATACAATCAAGAGCAAGTGAGGTACTAATACCACTCTATAAAGCCTTAGTAAGACCACACCTAGAGTACTGCATCCAGTTTTGGTCACCATACGATAAAAAAAAAATGTTGAGACTCTAGAAAAAGTACAGAGGAGAGCAACCAGGACGATTAGGGGACTGGAGACTAAAACATATGAAGAACGGTTACAGGAACTGGGCCTGGCTAGTCTAGTGAAGAGAAGGACCAGGGGAGACATGATAGCATCTTCCAATGTTTGAGGGGCTACCGCAGAGAGGAGTGGGTCAAGCTATTTTCCAAGGCACCTGAGGCCAGACAAGGAACAATAGATGGAAACTAAACAAGGAGAGATTTAACCTGGAAATAAGGAGAAACTTTCTGACAGTGAGAACAATCAATCAGTGGAACAGCTTGCCCTCGGAAGTTGTGGGAGCACTATCACTTGAGACTTTCAAGAAGAGATTGGACTGCCATTTGTCAGAAATGGTGTAGGGTTTACCACTTGGGCGGGGGGTTGGACTAGATGACCTAACATCCCTTCCAACTCCAATTATCTGTTAAATCTGTTAAAGCCCCATCTCAGACAGGAAACCATATACCATTTCAGAAAAATGGTCACCCAATCTCTTCTTAAAATCTTTCAGTATTGGAGCATTCACAACTTCTGGACGCAAGCAGGGGGTGTTTGATTCAAAATTACATGAAGAGGGAGAAAGCAGTCAAGATTACATGAAAAAAGAAGAGGGAGTCAAGTTATTCTCCAAAGAACCAGGAGGCAAGACAATAAATAAAGGATGGAAACTAATCTAGGAGAGAAGCAACTTGGAATTAGGAGGAAACCTACTAACAGTGAGGACAATTAACCAGTGGAACAGCTTGCCTTCAGAAGTTGTAGATATTTCATCTACTGGAGGTTTTTAAGAAAAGACTGATCTGCCACCTATCTGAAATGGTATAGGGTATTCTGCTTGAGCAGGGTGTTGGACTAAAAGACTTCCAAGTGTCAGGTTTTCAAGTGATGACATCCATTTAAAAAGAAAAGAACAAAGTCCATCTCCCAAAACAATTTATTTTATTTAGGAAAGCATCAAATTGGCAAAGTCTGTGGTAATTCCGGATTTGACAAAACCCAGAATTACCCCACAAGATTAAAAGTTAGAAACAACCCCCAAAAGCCACATTCTCCAATAGAAGTAATTCAAGGTTCCTTGATGTCATAAATCTCTACCTCAAGGGGCCTAAGCACCAACAGCTCATTTTCCCACAGGAAGAAGAATCACCTAGCCTAAACAACTCTCTCTATCTCCACTCCTTCCCCCTTAGGAATGTGGCAAGACCCGAAACCCTTCCCCCCCCCATGACTGCCACAGAGAAAGTAAGAAAAAGAATATATACTAAGCCTAACTAAAATGGCTACACATATGTCAATTTTGGACTTGACACCAAAGTCCCTTCGAACTCTATTCTGATCGATCTTCTAACAGTTTCTCCAAGAAAGACATACCTGAGGGATTTTGTAGGTGCCCAACAAGGTTGAAATCTGAATGGAGATGCCAGTCTCAGCCCCTTCAAGAACAGCCACTGTGTTTCTTTGCCGTCCACACCTGTAGTTGGGAACATTGGCCTCCCCATCCGAAAGAAAATCCAGCAACGGATCTGAAGTCATTTCTACCTTGAAGAAAGTTTGATAAACATTGTAACCCAGAGTGATATTAGGCAAGAGACGGACATTCTTGTTGATCTCCTCAGTGGCAAAAAGGAAGGGCAGAAATTTCCAATAATGATTGGATGATGGTCTGCAGATGCAAAAAGAAAAAAAGAGATGAAAATAACATACAAGTTTCATTCATGATAATACTGTACTTTTCACCCACTCATTACAATTATTCTTCCAAACAATTTGCATACTTCCAAACTATTACAATTGGGGGGGGGGGGGGGATGGGATAAAAGCAATAGAAAATTTTGAATCCCATACTAGTTTTAGGAACTATTCTTATCCTAGCATCACTTCAATTTCATTTATTGGTCTTCAAGCATTTTATCCCACATTTGATGGACTATTTCCTCTCTCTGAGTGAAGATGGGTGATATACTCATGTAGTTTTTCTATTTCGGTACAGCTCTAATATTCTACCAAATAATATTAAATTCTAAGATATTGAATGGCTAAAAAAACTTTATTATTGTATATTTTTCATATGATAAATATTTGTGGAGTTGGACCAAATTTACTGAGAATGGCTCAACCTGGATGATGTTTAGAAGCTTGTAAACACCACATTATTTTGCCCACCTCTGAGGCAGAATGAAAAGAAAATTAATATTTTTTATTTTAGTTTTATTACAAATGTTATCTTCTTCCTTTTGACAACCTGTCATCTGGTTACAAATATCTTGTGCAATACAGTTAATGTTTACAGTCATATTTATTATATTAGTATTATTCTCTTGTCTTGTTGTTTTTATTGTACTTAATGTCACTATCTCTTTATCTTGCTTCTTAGCTTATTTATTTTTGTTCTAAAAAATCTGTTGTCTTTCTTAACTAATCCATTAATTACATCTACCTTTCATATTTTTTTTCTCTAACCATTGATAGAATAGTTCCCATACCTTATAATATTCAGTTTGCTCTCTTTCTTTAATTTTAAGCGCTAATCTATTCATTTCTGCACATTCTAATATTTTCCTAACCAATTTTCTTCAATAGAAATCTGTTCCTTTTTCTAGTTTTGAGCAAATACAATTCTCCCTGCAGTTATCACATGAATAATCAAATATACATTTTCTTTGCTATAAGTTTCAGGTCAGATACCTAACAGGAATATTTCTGGTTTTAAATCAATATGTTGTTATATCATCTCTTCCAACCATGAACATATTTTTATCTAATAGTTTTTAGCTTCATCACATGTCCACCACATATGGTAATATGTGCCAGGTGTTTGGCAGCATTTCCAACATTTCACCAATTTATCTTTAAAAACCTTCTCCAATCTCACTGGCACATAATACCATCTATAAAAAATTCTGTATAAATTCTCTTTATATGCAGTTGACATTGTTACCTTATTAATTTCTATCCCATAATTAGGCAGAGTGAAGATTGAGCCACTTTGGATGGACATTTATTGTTTATTTGCTTGTTGGTGTTGTTATTTCTGGGGCTGTCTTTTTTTTTCTTTTCCTGTTTTATATTTTTTTCTTCTTTTAATTGTAAGCTATCAAGAGTCACACAGTCTATGAACAAACCAACCAATATAATAGAGATAATATCCAACAAACCAACCAATATACTGGAGACAATATTTTCCTTTCTTTAAAATGTTTCATTGTTCACCAACATGAACTCTTGAATGAGAATAGGAGAAATTTGCAAACTCTCTGAATGGCTATAATCTTAATTGGGATGCTTTGAAAGTAGGAATAAATTGTGGTGTGGATAAACAATTTTTTTTTTCAATTCAATTTTCAATTCAATTCTTTATTGGCCAAGTGTGATTGGACACAGAAGGAATTTGTCTTGGTGTATATGCACTCAGTGTACATTAAAAAAAATATATTCATCAAGAGTCAACAATCACAAGATATAACACTTAATAATTGTCACAGGGTACAATAAGCAATCAAATCAGACTAGGAAACAGTCAATATAAATTGTAAGGGTACAAGTGACAAAGTTACAGTCATACAGTCACAAGTCACAAGATTAATAGTAATAGTAACCCAGACTTTGTAAATAGTTGCACAGTGTTGAGGGGATTATTTGTTTAGCAGATTGTTGGTGTCCTTGTGTCTAGTTGTTCTGGCGTGCAGTGCTCTATAGTGTCATTTTGAAGGTAGGAGTTGAAACAGTTTATGTCTGGGATGTGAGGGGGCTGTAAATATTTCACAGCCCGCTTTCTGACAAATATTGAGCTATGACATATCTGATACAGAAAGAAACTACAGCATCTCTCTGTATTTGGATCAGGCATCCCTCAGCTGAGTCCAGCTAAGTGGAGAAAGAAGGGAAAGGTCCTTCTGTCCCTCTGTACCTACACTGTAGCTCTGTTCGTAGGGCAGAAAGGAAATGGAATGGGGCAAATGTTGTGATTGGATTCTTAGACTTTACTGGTCACAATGACCTTCTTCATTTGCAGCATGCAGTAGAAGACAGAACCAGAAAGAAACTAAGCAAAAGGAGCAGATCCCTCGTGTTTTCACAGAACTGGAACAGTGGTGAGATTCAAAAAAAAAAAAAATACTACCAGTTCTGTGGGCATGGCTTGGTGGGCATAGCAGGGGAAGGATACGGCAAAATCCCCATTCCCTCCCCACCCCACTAACCTGCTTTCCAGCTCCATTCTCCTGTGCAAGGCAACAAAGAAGACCCAGCTAATCAGCTGGAACTCAGGAGGCAGAGAATAGATGGGGTTGGTGGGGCCAGTCAGAGGCGGTATTTGTTGGTTCTCCAAACTACTCAAAATTTCTACTACTGGTTCTCCAGAACTGGTCAGAACCTGCTGAATGCCACCTCTGAACTGGAACTGTAGACATTCATTGAAAATGGAGTGGCTCTAATGCAGGTCAGGACTTACTCAATGAACTTTATTGAAGGACTTCGGTCAAAGCTTAGTGATTCAAACCTAGTGTCCCTTGCAGAGATTATACCACTAATGAAATAATCTCCTGGCTTGTAATGATTATCTGGGTCCACTTCACCCTGCTCCAGAGTCAGGAGGCATTTGGCTTTGCGTATCTCACAGGCTCCCCTTGGCCACAGAAGCAGAATAAGTTGAAGCAGGAGCAACATGATTTGAGCCTTCTGTCGGGTGCCTGGTTTTTAACAATGGATGAGATGAAGAGGTGGAAGAAACCAAAACCTCTTCCAGGAAAGGAGCTTCAGATCCAGTCAGAGCCCAGCCAAGAGACATAAACACAGCACCTTCCTGTCCTGAATCGAGCTCCAGATTATCTTTTGGTCTCCAGAGTCGTTTCTGCATCTAATACTTCTAATATAGACTCCACCCAATTTTTCTTTGAGTCTGGTATTGATATCAAACCAATTTCGGACATGTTTGTGTAAAAATGTTCTGAAAGTTTGCAGAAAGGTCTCTAGGGCACTAACATAAAACAACAAAATCACTATAATTTGGATAATTGTAAGGAAGAGAATCATCTCAACCCTGAATGAGTCAATAGGAGGTGGTCAAAGGGAGAACTCAAAGTTGAGGCTCCAAACTTTGAAGATGGGACAGTGTGGGAAACTGAAGAATTTTGTCCCAAATTTATATACATTTGTGTGTGTGTGTGTGTGTGTGTGTGTATGTATATATGTATATATGTATATATGTATATATGTATATATGTATATATGTATATATGTATATATGTATATATGTATATATGTATATATGTATATATGTATATATGTATGTTGTGGCTCAGAAGTTTGAGCCTGCTTTGTCAGAGGACACAGACTTGGCCTTCGTTGCAGAACCTATCCTGAGGCATCCTGATCCACATCGTCTGTTTGTGGTGGAGACGGATGCATCCAACATGGCTATTGGGGCTGTGTTGTTGTAAGCCCTAGCGGATGGCGCCCCTCTTTTTCCCTGCATTTACTATTCTCAGAAACTCACTCCTTCCGAGCACAACTATACTATCTGAGAAAAAGAGTTGCTGACTATCAAGGCTGCGTTTGAGACCTGACGACATCATCTTGAGGGGGCCTGGCACAAGGTGGAGGTTCAGACGGATCATCGTAATTTGGAGCACTTGTCCACTGCAAGGAAGTTGAACCAGCGACAGATTCGGTGGTTGTTGTTCTTTGCCCAGTTCAACTTTTTTGTGACTTATATCCCCAGTGGTCAAAATCGGAGAGCAGATGCCCTGTCCCGTAAATCTGAGTACCTTTGTCCTGAGGACCCTCTTCCTCCATGTACAGTGCTGCCACCAGAATCTTTGGCCGTTATTCAGGAACCAGTGGATTTGCGGACTCGGATATGAGAGGCACAGCGCTTAGACGCTTGGTTGCAGCAGAGAATGGGGGACATTGGACCTGACTCCCCATGGACTTTGGAGGAGGGCTTACTATGACATCGGGGTCAGTTGTACGTGCCCACGAGGACACTTAGAACCCTTGTTATGACTCAAAGTCACAACAACCCTGCTGCTGGCCATTTTGGATTTTTTAAGACCCTTCATCTGGTCACACGGACTTTTTGGTGGCCTCGAGTCCGGCATGATGTCTATGCCTACGTCGTATCCTGTGTACCATGCTGGCAAGTGAAAGCCACAATGGGTGCACCTCTTGGTCTCCTTCAACCACTGCCGACTCCAGACAGACCATGGGGGACAATTTCCATGGACTTCTTAACACATTTGCCCTCTTCATCGGGATATACGACGGTGCTTGTGGTGGTTGATATGTTAACCAAGATGGCCCACTTTATCCCCTGTCGGAAGTTACCATCGGCTCATACTACTGCCCAGTTATTTTTGCAGCATGTGTTCTGTCTACATGGTCTGCCAGATAGGGTAGTTTTGGATCGTGGTGTCCAGTTTACCGCTCAATTTTGGAAGAACCTGATGACTGTGTTACAGGTGCAGATGTGCTTGGCCTCGGCGCACCATCCAGAGACTGATGATGGGACGGAGAAGGTGATTGGCATCCTCACCCAATATTTAAGATGTTTGGTTAACCCCTGACAGAACGATTCGGTGACTTATCTCCCTCTGGCGGAGTTTGCCTTCAACAACTCCCAGCACACATGACACCTTTTTATGTGAATGTGGGTTACCATCTGAGGTTTTTCCCATTATTGATCTTGGATTCCCTGGTTTCTGAGATGCAAGACTTCTTGTCGGAACTGCATTCGGTTCACCAATTGATTTCACAGCAATTGGAACAGGCTAAGGAGGATTATAAAAGGTTCATGGATCGTTCACACCCCGCGATGCCCCCGCTGGCCGTGGGAGACAGGGTGTGGTTATCCACAAAGCATCTATAGGTCGATCATCTGATTAAGAAGTTGGACCATTGCTTCATCAGTCCCTTCCCTATTGAGGCAGTCATCAATCCCGTTGCTTATTGGCTCACCCTACCACGCTCCATGTGCATTCATCCTGTCTTCCACCATTCCCTTCTAGTTCCTGATGCCCCATCGAGTGCTCTCTGTTCCCCCACTGGTATGGTTCCTCCATATGTACCCAGCGAGGATCCCGCTGCTGATGACACGGTGGTCAGCATTCGGGATTCTCTCTGGCTGAAAGGACGGTTTCAATACTTTGAATACAATACTTTGAGAGACTAAGAGATGGACCGGAGGTTCTTTCCTGGGTGGATGCTTTCACGGTCCATGCCCCAGACTTTATCCAGAGATTCCATGAACAGTTTCCACTGAAACCGCATCCGGATCGTCAGACTTGGGGGAAGAGCCCTGCGATGAGGGATAGTGTTGTGGCTCGGAGGTTTGAGCTTGCTTTGTCAGAGGACACAGACTTGGATAATGAGGAAGAGGAGGATTTGGCTCTGAGGTTCAAGCCTGCTTTGTTAGGGGATTTGGAATTGCCTTCCTCCCCAGAACTTTCCTCCTTGACAGGACCTTCCCCCCTGATTGTGCCTCAGGTGTTGGCAGATAATCAGGAGAACATATCAGAGCCTCTGACTGAGGATCAAGCTGAGGAATGCTGGCTTGATGTGAGGCAAAGGCGCAGGCAAAAGTGTAAATTGCAATGTAACAGGAAAGGATGAATTAGAGACTGAGATGAGGGACTGACACGCCCCACAGAGAATAAAAGTGGGTGTGTTCGCTCTGAGAATTTGTTCGGGACAACGTGTTAATTTGTGAGAGCAGCTCCGACAGATTCTGTGTGTGTGTCGATAACCTGTGATTTATGTTCTTGCTTTATTATCAGACTTGGCAGACAGCTTGTGTGAGACTGCCAAGAACTTGCCTGGCCAAAGGAATTTAACCCTGTCATTACTGGTCTTGTCTGCTTGTGTATATTCCTTTGGAAACTTGGACTTCTCACTTTGTTCATGATGATGGCAGATGAGATTCTGCCGAAATGTTGCTACAACTTTAAAAGCACAACTACAATGACATGGGGAAATACCTGAACAAAGCTGAATGCCATACATACATACATACATACATACATACACACATACATACATACATGTTCTGTCTCTCCTGTAGCCACAAAGTGAGCGTCCAAATGTCCCAAAGAAATAGACACAAACAAATAATATCAGAAACCACAGAGTTAACTTTTCTCGGTAATCTTCATTGGCAGCTTTCCCAGAAACTGTCTTCAAAACAAGATAATGAGCCGCAAGATAATTTAGAGCCAAAAAAGGCACACAGAAGGCTTCTTCAAAGCTGTGAAGTAACTAATGAAGTTTGATCCGGACAAGGATCATTAGTTAGCATACCTCCTTATATTCCTTGAAGGGGCGTGTCAGTCTCTCTAATTAGTCTCTGGCTTGATGTTTCCTTTCAACATCTGAGGTATTGGGCGAGGATGCCAATTACTTTCTCAGTCCTGCCATCAGGTTCTGGATGGTGCACCGATGATAAACATACTTGCACCCATAATGCATTCATTAGGCTTTTCCAGAATTGAGCAGTGAACTGGACACTGTGATCTGAAACAACTCTGTATGATAAGCCATGCAAATGGAATATATGTTGTATAAAAAGCCGGGCAGTAACACAAGCCGATGGTAACCTTCTATATGGGATGAAATGGGCCATCTTGGTGAGCATGTCAACCACCACAAGTACCATTGTATAACCCGATGACAAGGGCAAGTGTGTTAAAAAGTCCATGGAGATTGCCCCCATGGTCAGTTCAGAGTCGGTAGTAGTTGAAGAAGGCCAGGAGGCACACCCGATGAAGCTTTTGCTTGCCAATACGGTATACAAGAGGCAACATAAGCAAAGACGTCATGCCAGACTCTAGGCCACCAAAAAGTCTTTGTGACCAGATGAAGGGTTTTGAAGAACCCAAAATGACCCTCAGTTGGGTTGTCATGACATTGGGTCATGACGAGTGCTCTAAGTGTTTTGGTGGGCACGTACAATCGACCCCAATGTCATAATAAACCCTCCTCCAGAGTCCATGGAGAATCAGGACCAATTTCCCCCATTCGTTGTTGCGACCAATCGTCCAAACACTGCGCCTCTTGTACACGAGCCCTCAAATCCACCGATTCCTGGATCACTGCCAAAGATTCTGGAGGTAGCACCGTACATGGAGGAAGAGGTTCTTCAGGATACAGATATTCCGGTTTATGGGATAGGGCATCGGCTCTTTTATTTTGACCACTGGGGGTGTATGTGACCAAAAAATTGGACCTAGCAAATAACAATGACCACCGGATCTGTTGTTGGTTCAATTTCCGAGCAGTGGTCAAGTGCTCCAGATTACGGTGATCTGTCCGAACCTCCACCTTGTGCTGAGCCCCCTCAAGGTGATGTCTCCAGACTTCAAACGCAGTCTTGATGGCCAGCAACTCTTTCTCCCAGATTGTATAATTACGCTCGGAAGTAGTAAGTTTCCTTGAATAATATACACATGGAAAAGGGGTGCGCCATCCGCTGGGGCTTGTAACAACACCGCCCCAATGGCCACATTGGATGCATCCGTCTCCACCACAAATGGACGATGGAGGTCAGGATGCTTTAAGATTGGTTCCGCAACAAAGGCTTTCTTGATTGGCCTCAAAGGCCTGCTGCTGTGCGGGTCCCCATGGAATGGAACCTTCTTGTGAAGGAGGTGGAGGATGGCGATTCCGATACTCCCTCATCCTCCTGGCTCACGTCTGCATCTCTCATTAAAGCAGGCTCCAATTCCAATGCCAAACCTTCCTCATCACTCGAACCTGTGTCTTCTGATACATAAGACTCAAAGCTCACAGCAGGTTCAAACCTTCCATATATATAACCATATATAACCATATATATATAACCATATATATATAACCATATATATT